GGGGGGGGGGGACAAAAACCCTTCGCCTAATCTCCCCCACCACCTAGATTCGTTATGAGCCCTGCAAATTCAAAATTATTTTTGTTCATTCAAGCCCGGGTCTCAATTACCCGCCATGAAAGTTTCGGCGAGAGAAATTACTAATTCGGGAGCCATAAAAGATAGAAAACTGAAATTTTGGGGTATTACGATCTTGCGGAATTAAATTCACCTTTCATGTGCGCTTGGATCTCATGTGCGGCCCTGCGAAAGTTTTGGTGAGGGAAATTATTATCTCGGAAACTGAAAGAGCTGTGAGGCTGAAATTTCAGGAGGATGTTTTCTGCCTGTGCATGTACCTCACAAACTCAAATTTAGTCCCCAACTATGCAAAGTCCTTAAGTTCGACCAAGTGAGAGTTTTGATGCGAGAGTCACTAGCTCGGAAGCCGGGGAACCGAGAGGGTGGAATTTGGAGGGATGTTCCCCATCCATTTTTTTCAGATGCAGCTTTCATGTATCAGCAGTGAAATTTTCATTGGGAAATTTCTCAGCTTAGGAGCCAGACAGCATATCTATCATTTTCCCACATATGAAAGTGTAAAACAGTTATATTTTTAGTAGGCAAACGTCCACTGGAGGGAACTGCGCAAAACGCGTGATCGCACCGGTTACCCTGGTGCGTGCCGCTATTTATTATTATTTTTACTGGTGTGTGCCTATTTGTATCTTTATTTGTAGCGAAGAAGCGATTTCGAGAAACACTCAGGCTAGGAGGCTGAAATTTTTACAAGGATATCCTATCCCTAGGTGCGCGGCGGTATTTATTCTTTACATTATGTGCTAAAAACAGCACTTCAAATCAAGCTTGACAAAATGACCTGCACAGAAAAAGTGGAGGAGAGAACCCATTCTACTAATTTCTTTTCATTTTTTCCATGTCTCATTTTCAGTGCGCACACCAGAACCACAAACTAGGCACTCAGTTGTTTATTTTTTATGATTTTTGTGACTAAAAAGTTTTATTTTCAAGTCTTTCATGTCACATATTCTGCCAGTTACGGTTCTCACTTTTGTAAAAATGAAGTTGGTGATTCGCCTAGTATAATTTATCTGTATATGATGCCTCGGTTTTTGACGCTGTCAGTGCTTTTTCGCGGGGAATGGAAGGAAGAGAAAAAGTGGGGAAGACTCGGCATTTTTTGTTATCGGAACTCTTTGTCATCCTTTGATTAATATTATTCCCGGATCGACCTGGCACTTTTCTATCAAAAATTTGCACGAATTAATCGTTGCATGGTACACAGTATGGAGATTTCTCGTGTTTGAAAACTTTTAACAGCGAGATAGTCATGAAATTGATGCATGCATTGTTTGTAGCCAGTGAGAGGCGTAAATGAAATGAATTTTACTCTATATATTGTGACGACTCATGGTATGCGTGTGTAGGTGTGTTGTGTGTTTATGTGTGTGTGTGTGTGTGTGTGTCTGTCCGGGTGTTTCAACTCGGCAGGACCGCGACACCGACCTTCACGCGCATCTTGGGCCCCGCGTATGAACAACTGAAAGTTTTGGCAGGAAAATTGCCAACCCGGGAACCAGAAAGAATAGAAAGCTGAAATTTTGCGGCTGTGTTTCCCGTACACGTTGAATTTAAAGATTTCAAATTTAGCCCCGGTTGTACGTGGTTCTCATGTACAGGCCGTTGTAAATTTTCGTACGAAAGTTGCTAACTCGAGAACAAGAAAAGCTGAGATTTTGAAGCGTATGAGCAACTAAAAGTTGCTCATACGCTTTAAAGTATCGCCTACTCTGTTAAAGTATCACGTACTTACACAGTTAAATCCCTGAACCTCGAGGACCAGTATTTCACAAATCTAGCTGCTGGGGTTCCAACTGATCTTACTACAGCGTGAAATTCTGCAAAAAAGCATGTGGGCACGGACCCGACTGTGCGTTTCGCCAGTGATTTGTGAGTCGCTAGTTGTAATTTTGGGTTTGAGATTTTAAGTAGTCGGGCAGGTAGATTGGATTAGGCGGAGAGAGATACGCGATAAAAGGAAAGCGTCGAAATCATTTGTCTGCAGCCCTTAAGAGGTGTAAAACTGAAACCGATTTTCACGCAGTGAATTTGAGATTTTCAAGCGTTTTGATTTTTCATGGATAAATTAAGACGTTGAGAAGAATTTGGGCCATAATTCTTAAGTTAAACAAGTTGGAGAAACCGAGCCGGTTGGTCGTGAAATCTTGACTTTTTGGCTTCTTCCAGTCAGCCCACCCGAAAAAGCCAATATTTTTCTCGGAAAT